TATTAACGTCACGTGGAACGCGATCGAAAGCCTTCTCCAAGTCTAGAAAGGCAAGATGTATCGGCTTTTGTTTTCGCGATGCTTTTCTAGCAGAAGGCGAGCGGCGTGTATGGCATCGATGGTGCTGCAACCAGCAACAAAACCACACTGGTTGGTGGTCAGCTCGACGACGTCACGGATACGACTGTCTACAATTCGCTCAAAGATTTTCATGCTATGCGAGAGCAGGCGAATTGGACGGTAGCTAGTGCAGTCCGCAGGACTGCCTTTTTTCTTCCAGATTGGAATCGTCGTGCTCTGTTGCCAGCTCTCAGGCACCTTCTTCTCTGCAACGACCTGGTTGAAGAACTCCGTCAACCACTGTGCAGGATTCCAGCACTTTGATTTCCACAAGTCCGCCGCTAAGTCGTCAGGACCAGTCGCTTTGCCTGATTTCATCTTCTTCATAGCCGTAATGGTCTCCTCCATGGTTATCTTCTGAACGGGGCCGTGTACTGGCGGAGCGCAAGGGATGGCGGGATGAGCAAATTCGACTGTTGAGATGTTCTCGAAGTATTCACACCATCGCTTCAATGCTTTCTCGCGGTCCGTCAGAAGGTGACCATTCGCATCATTTATGCCGAAGAACTTTTCTATATCCTCGGTCTGGCGATAGCGGGTCTTTGCGAGTCGGTAAACGTACCGTTCACCATCGCGCGACTCGAGTTTCTCATTGAGATCGGCAAAATGAGCTGCTTTTCGCAGAAGCAACGGCCTTCTTTGCCTCTTTCTTCGCTATCTGATAGCGCTGCCAGCAACCGGCTGTCTTCTCCGAAAGAAAAGCGTGGTAGCGCTTTTTCTTCTCTCTTACTTTCTCTCTAACTTGATCCGTCCACAGCCATGTTTGCTTATCAACCTTTCTCCGTCCAGGCTTCGTCATGCCGAGCTCGGATCGCGCAACCTGGGTGATCGCTTCGGCAGCACCTTTCCAAGTTTCGTCGACAGTCGTTACCGCTGGTAATCGAATGCGGGAAACGACGGCCGCTTCTTTCTCCTTCAGTCGCCACCACTTGATTCTCGCTGGCCCACATCTTTCGGCTAGTTTCGGTCTCGGTGGGGCGATTTTTAGCGTACAAATCAATGGTCGGTGTTGTGTGACGACCGTTTCATAAGGTACTACTTTTGCGTCCGTTACGAGCCCTTGATCACGGTGCCTAACAAGGACGAAATCGATTTGTGTTCTGGTTTTACCGCTATAGAATGTGATAAGATGTGAGTCACGTTTTCGAAATTTCGTGTTTACTATGGCGAGATTATGCGAGTCTGCATATTCAAGAATTCGTTCGCCATCAGTATTACGTGACCCATAACCAAAACCACCATGACAGCTATAACCGTCTTTCGTAGCGCCCACGTGGCCATTGAGGTCACCGGCAACAATTATGGCTTCTTGTGACGGTACCTCAGCTGTCTTCTCATCAAGCAGGTTCCAGAACTTGTCCTTGTTTTGCTCGGAGCATCCAGTCTGCGGAGCGTACGCAGAGAAGAAGTGGTATTTTTGATGTTCCATGACGACAACGATCTTCATTAAACGGTCGTCGAAGCGCTCCACACTTACTATCGAATCACGAAAGCGTTCAGAGACAATCATCCCGACGCCATTGGTGGTTCTGGGACCGCCACAGAGAACGGCTTTGAAGCCGCGGCCAATGTCCCTCGACTTGCAGCAGGACCACCTCGTTTCCTGCACGGCACAGAAATCAATTCTTCGGCGCTCCAGAGCTTCTGCTAACTCGAGCGCCCGTCAACGTGCCAACATTTAACGTCGCAACGCGAGTCTTCCATACGTTGCGGGACTTTTGGACTAGCCTAGTTGCCCCCCGATGCCGTCCTTGCACCGGAGACCCTCGCATACTTTTCACACTCGCCGGGCTTTGCGAGTGCGCGTCGGCTCCCGCGGACGCCGTAGCATTATCTCGAGATCTTGTAGCGACATTGACATTTGTGATGTGACGTGGGTGTTCGTAGGCCGGCCTGTCACGGGGGCCTGTCGCCTGCATTCGAATGTCCGTGGTCGGCTCAGCTCACAAAAGTGAGCAGTTTCCAGTGGCACCACTTGGAGGAACGGACATCACCACCACGTTGCTACCAGGGTATTGTAGCAGATACCTGAGCGCAGCCGATGCACCAGCACAGACCATCAGTATGACAAGGACTGCTGCAGAATGAAGTTTTGATGGAAACCTTATGGTCCGGCCGACGGTGGAAATGAGTCATGAGTCCACTGCGACAACAACATGCGGCACGTCTGATGGCTGCCTCGCAGCCAGGAAGCACCAGCTCAACCAAAGCCCGAACTCCGTTTTCTGAGAATATCGCTCTCGTTTTGTTGGATTCGCTAGGTGGCCTGGTTTGGGAACCACTTCAATGTATGAAGACAAGCATTGCTAAAGTCAGCGCGGAATAGCCCTCTAGGCTGGCTTCGGGGTTGCGAGGGAATCGTCAGAAACGTCTCAGATTCTCCTTTCTCCGAATGTACGCCAGACCTCACATTGCAATGCCAACTCACCACGTTCTGAGGGAGATATCCGCGGCCACGCAACACCCCAAAAACGACTTCTTCAAATTCTTCGACCCCTAGCTTCCTTCATTCTGGGCTGGAAGCTTCCAAACGCTCACTAGCAAATGCACGCATATCAGTGACCATGATGGTGGTTATGCTATTGATCAGTTGTTTCCTAGAAGAGATAAAACTTGGATAAACAAAAGTGTCGAAATTGCGACAGGAATTATGAGACAACCCAATAGTGCATATGATGCCAAATGCGGTAACCCGTAATTGGTCGATTTATTAAGTATAACAAAAACTCTCAATAAAGGTTTCCTATTCTTTAGGATTAACAATATATGTACGATAACGAACAACATATAGTAAAGCAACCGTGGATGTAATAAAAACGAAGAAGAGCAGCAACGCAGAAAATAAGATGGTCGATGTGGGGAAGCAAATCGTTTGAGACAGTGTAGATGTGACAGAGGTGAACTGAAAAAAATTCTTATTTTAATTCTTAGGAAAGTGGATGCGAAAACTTCAATGTTACCTGATCGTTTTCCAGGACAAGCAGTTCCTTCTCAGATGTTACAGTGTTAGCATCCAACGTGTCTTCCATGGTTAAAGTGGCAGCCACTTCAATCTGACCCCTTTTACCACCAACATCTGAAATCTTCTCAGTAGTACAGAAAGCAAATGCGTAGGTAGTTTAGTATAATCGGCAACGCGATAAGTGGCCAGATTCGCAACGTCTGGCTACGCCATAGGTGCCAGCAGCGGTACGGAATCTGAGCTTTTGCCTACCTCCCACTTTTCGCAACCTTGGTTTTTTCCCTCGGAAAATTTCCCGTAATCTCGTTTGACCACACATAACACACGCACATGGGGTAATAGGAATACATTTTCTATGCAATGTTCCCTCTAGTGGCACAGAAGACGGAGGTTCGGAAAGGAGGACAATTTAGTAGACTGTGTAAACGCTTCTTTATGCGAGTACAAAAATCTTCATGACTCCACCTCCCCCCCCCCCTATTAAGAGGGTCGCTACACGACTCTCACTACCAACAGCCATGGAGGGATCACCCATACGACCTCCTCCTCCGCTCACCATCACCCTCAAGTCACGGCGAGTTCAGAATTGTACACACTCCAAGTATATGAGGGGTGCTACCTAGAAATGGAACGAGATATCGAAAGGCTAGGGGTGCGGTATCTGCTTTAAATAGCGTTTCGCTCTGGGTATCAGCTTAAGCCCCATAGAAAGCATGCTCGGTAATCCTACCTGTGGCTCTTGTTAGACGAGCAGGCTCGTGAGGAAAATTGATTTCCTGCTTTCTGTGGCTGCAATTTGGAGGGGTGAGGTTCTCGCACTCTTCAACCGAACGGCACACTTCTGAACTTGTAACCAAACACCTCCACAAAGGCCTGAAATTGCGATGAATTAATTTTCAGCTTCGTCACAGTTGCAGAAACCCATTGTGACAATATCTCAGAA